AATTTGTAGTTTTGTCAACAGTGAATGTTTCTGATGGTGAAAAGAAAGTTAACAGGACAGGAAGAATGAGTGGAGAGGGAAGTTCATCGGACATCAGGAATTTGAGAAACCCAGAGGTATCATTGGACAGTTCATCCAAGTGAAATTTGAGCAGAGTAAGAGTTCAGATTGAAAGAAAAACAAAGGAAAAATGCTCAAATCTATTGTATGGATGGTGACCAGGCAGTTGGCTGGTAATAGCAGATGATAGAGCCAGCTGGCCTAATCTGAGGGGAACCGGGGACTTTTTTTTTTTTTTTTTATGGTAGAGGTTGGGAAAAAATAATTATCTGGATGGATCACTGGGGAGGTGGAAGGCACTTGTGCCGCCCCTCCAGAAGGAGCGACAGGAGCGTGCTGCAGGGGAGGCCGTGTTCTCGGGGAGCAGCTGGTCACAATGAAAACAGTGACGAAACCCTATGAGTCGGGGAGGCTGCACCTTTGGAAATGGAGTAAGATTTGCTGGTAGTTTAGCCTCCAGAGTGTCAGAGCTGGCAGATTTCGTTCCAAATCAAAACCACATCTTCCACTGGGGAGGGATAAGAGGCTGCACAAGAGCTATGGTCCACCTCTGTGTTCTCCATAATTCACCTGCCTTACCACATCTGGTTTACTCTGCAAATGGCTGCGACAGACAAGTCTGGGCCAAGCTGAATCAGAGGTGTTTCTGAGGGGTGCTGTTTCCCTATTATCATTCTTGTTAGAGGATAATCTTAGAGCTCTTGATTCCTCTGTAACACACATGAGACTGGATTGGAGCTCTTTTATTTATTCTGTCTCCCTTCTATTCTTTCTTTTCTTTTCATCCCAGCCTCTTACTTTCTCCCCCTATCTTTAAGCAATCCATTCATTGAGACTTCCAAAGCTCAAAAGGAAATAGAATGAAAATAGCATACAACAGAATATAGTTATAAAAAATTGTTACTCCACAGACGAAAGCAAACTTATGAAACTTATCTTCAGTTAAATTTTTTAAAAGGAGTTGTTTTTCACTATCAACTCAAATTTCTTTCTTTAAAAGATTTATTTATTTAATATTTTTTAAGAAGAGACAGAGAGAAAGATCTTCCAACCATTGGTTCCATCTGAATTGGCCAGAGCTGAGCCAATCCAAAGCCAGGATCCAGGAGCTTCTTCTGGGTCTCTCATGTGATACAGGGTTCCAGGTATCATGCGCAAATCTGGGCCACGCTGAGTTCGAGAGGTAGAAACTCCATACTGGTCGCCTGCTTGGGTACCAGATTCGGCAGTCATCTGCTGCCTTTTAAGTGCCTTAGCAAGAAGCTAGATTACAAGTAGACTAGCTGGGACTCAAACCAGCCCTCCAATATGGAATACTGGCATCTTAAGCATCAGTTTATCTAGGTGTACCCCAACACCAGCCCCAACTATCAAGCCCTCTCTAGGGTCTTTTAGAACCTATCTTCAGATCCTTTTAATACCTTCAAGAGCTTCTAGAAAGGTGAATGCCCCAATGTAAGGGAAGCAAGTCCAGAGAAAGATAGATGCTCCCTCACGACCTCTGTTAAGAACTGCATTTCAAGTTTTAGTTTGCCATCTGAAGGCCTGCCTCTATGTTCAAATGATGGATATCAGGGATGGCAATTGTTTTAGGGAAAACCCTATCCCAGGCAACTACTCCTAGATCTGAAGCCCAGTATTTCAGAATTCTAAACCTACCATTCAAAGGTGCTTAGCCATGATGGACTTGGGAAAATTCACAATGGACATGCATTATTATTCTAGAGAGGAGAACAGAGGGGAGGGGAGGAAGTTTAGGGAGGGGAATGGAAGAGCCCACCACCAACTAAATTGCATCAAAAACAATAAAAATTATTTTTTAAAAAAAAGTGCTTAGCCACTACTGCTGGCATCTCAGAGCTCTGGTTTGAGCCTCAGCTACAATCCAGCTTCTTGCTAATGCGTCTTGCAAAGCAGCAAAGGGTAGTCCAAACATTTGGAACCCTACCGCCCATGTGGGAGACCTGGATGGAGTCCTGAGCTCCTGCCTTCAACCTGACCCAGCCCCAGGTGTTGCACCCATTTTGAGAGTGAACCAACAGATGGAAGATCTCTTTCTTTCTCTCTCTGCCTCATACTCTCTCTCTTTCTGTGTGTGTCTGTGTCATTCTGTCTTTCATATAAACAAGTAAATCTTTTTTGAATTGTTCAAAATAAACCTACCATTCAGACCCACAGATACAAACTGGAGATCCAGTTATTTATGTAGAAAATGATAGATATCTTATTGGACTTTCATATTTCTTTATAATAATAAGCATTGTTTTACAGAGTATATTGCAAGTGCTTTGTTGTAATTTTATTCTATTAAGGATTTGCCAACTATATTCCAAAGGTGTTGTGACAATTAAACATAAGGTGCTGGTTAAAAGGGCAGACATTTAGGCCTGGCGCAATAGTATAGCGGTTAAAGTCCTCGCCTTGAACGCTCTGGGATCCCATTTCGGTGCCAGTTCTAATCCCAGCAGTCCTGCTTCCCATCCAGCTCCCTGCCTGTGGCCTGGGAATGCAGTCGAGGATGGCCCAAAGCCTTGGGACCCTGCATCCATGTGGGAGATCTGGAAGAAGCTCCTGGCTTCTGGCTTCGGATTGACTCAGCTCTAGCCGTTGTGGCCACTTGAGGAATCAGTGAACAAAAGATCTTCCTCTCCTCCTCTCTGTATATCTGACTTTCCAATAAAAATAAACCTTAAAAAAAAAAAAAAAAGAGGGCAGACAGTTAAAATGTGAAGTAGCCCACATTCTCATACTGGAGTCCTCAACTCCAGCTCCTGTCTACTAAGGCAGAGCTGGGGAGGTAGCTATGTTGGTTCATGTAATTGGATTCCTGCCATGCATGTGGGAAACCCAAATTGAGTTCCTAACTCCAGGTTTCAACCTCAACCCAGCCCCAGCTGCTGTGGGCATATGCGGAATGAACCAGCAGATGATGCTTTCTTTCTCTCTCTCTGTCTCTCTCTCTCTGTTTTTCTCAAATAAATACATTTAATAAATGAAGATTAAAATTTTGTGTATAGTAATGCAATCCTTAGGGGAAAAACATTTTAGAATCTTTTCAGTATGCTAGGAATTTTAAGGAAAAGCAGGAAAGCAGGAAAACAGAATGAAGGGGAAGTTAAAATAATGTCTTCATACTCTGACAATGAGGTTATTTATAGTATTAGATGCCCGGACTCAGCCCTGAGGACAACGAAGGTAGGTGGAAGTTGAAGAAAATGGCTTGCAGGCAACCCACCGGCCCTTCACAGAGACCTTCGTGCCCAACACAAGTAGTCAAATGAGTTTACTGAAGAGTCATTGGTGACTTAGAAGTTGAGATGCGTGAAGTTTTTGGCTCACACAACATTTAGCACTTTCCCTCTGTTAAGACAATTGACCTAGTATAATAAATATCTAATGGCATCTATTATCTGCCAGGCACGATGATTGCTAGATATTTAGATGAAGCATATTTGACCCTAAAGCAGCTTTGAATGGAATGGGAGACATACCAGCAAATCCAGTCAACACATTACAAAGATTGATGTGATCTCAGTGGCAATTCCATGAAATTACTAAAAGAAAAAGAGTGTTACTAGAGATATCAACAGCAGGAAAACATTCTCAGAAAGTATGCTTTTGACCTGACTATTGAAGGAGAAAAGGGAGTTTGATGGAGAGAAAATGGGTAGAAGACATTGTTTGCCAAATGACATATGCAACAGTGAGAAACAAGACAGTATGTCCCTTGGTACTTGGCTTTATGACTCAGCCAAGAAACAGGTGACAGAGTGAAGTAGCTGGAAGCTAACGACACATAAAGGAATGATAGTAACAGTGGAAAACCTTTAACCACCAGGCTGGAAAAGGTAAGGAAAAGAAAATGGTATTATCAGACTGTGTGACAATGGAACCTATTGAGAGGGACTATCCAACAGGAACCTTGAGTACAAGCAAGGAGAGACAACCACTTGCTGCCAAGCAGAAACAGATAATGGGAGACATTCTCTGACTTCTCTTTCTTCTGGTCTCTAGCTAGCACCTCCCATGGACAGAATCCATTACAAACCAGAGGACAAGGGAATTTGGGAATGCTTTTTGAAAAGGCTGCCTACCTGAGACCTATAGAAGAGCAGAGATTAGATCTGGAGGGGTGAATAGAGAATTGTTAGCTCACCTTAGATTCCTATCCCATGTCAAAACCATCTTCTGTTTCCTGAGTTATTTCAATTCAGAGTGGCACCTCTAACAAACACCCTAACAAGTTTGTTCAGGCAGCTGTAACACACTCTGGACATATGTGTTCTGTGTGCCAACATACATAGGTTGTGGTGAGGGCCTTTTCTGTATCGCAGAGAGTCTTCCCCTTAGGGTAAAGTGAGGAGAGAACTGGAGGATCTTCTGGGTCCCTTTGATAAGGGAACTGGTGAGGGCTCCACTCTCATGACCTGAACTGTATCCCCTGACCCCACCTCCTAATATCTTCACAGTAGGAATTAGGATTTCAGCAAACAGTCTGAAACACATTTAGACGCTAGTACTGCCCTTGCTGCTGAATTAAATGACGGAAAAGAATTCTTCGGATGTGTTTTGCTGTGCAGCCTCTGCCCTTCACCCAGTCTTTCTGTATGCCTATTTTTAACCACCATGACGTAATAATTATTTGATCAGATATTTCAAAAAACAGCAAGTCATCATAAGACAGTGCAAGATGACATGCCATGCAAGTGCTTATTTGATTATCTAAAAATAACAACTGCTTTAATATTCTATCCATGTATGAAACTGGCTTGCGCATTTGTCTCAGAATATTTTTGTTCACTTAATACACTTCATAGCTGATATATAACTTCTAGAAAAATCACATTAAGGTATGTTCAAGTGTCATTAGGGTGCTATAGTATCTAAAGTAAGGGAAAATAAATAGCTGTCCTACAAGCATTTCTCTCTTTATTTTTCAGATCAATAACTCGATCTTACTACCGCAACTCAGTTGGTGGATTTTTAGTGTTTGACATTACTAACCGTCGATCTTTTGAACACGTGAAAGATTGGCTGGAAGAAGCAAAAATGTATGTGCAGCCATTTCGGATTGTGTTCCTGCTAGTGGGACATAAATGTGATCTAGCTTCACAACGTCAGGTTACAAGGGAAGAAGCTGAAAAACTGTCAGCAGACTGTGGTATGAAGTACATAGAAACCTCAGCCAAAGATGCTACGAACGTTGAAGAATCCTTCACCATCCTGACAAGAGACATCTATGAGCTTATCAAAAAGGGAGACATTTGTATTCAGGATGGCTGGGAAGGGGTTAAAAGTGGTTTTGTTCCGAATACTGTGCATTCTTCTGAGGAAGCAGTGAAACCCAAGAAGGAGTGTTTCTGCTGACTTCTAAATGCCAAAGACCAACAGGAGCAGGGGGGATTTCATTCCAGAATAAATACCGACACGCAGTGGAGCTAGGCAATGAACGTGTGACAAAAAAGTTATCAGCCTACACTAACACAGTTTTCCAAGGTGTTGATTCACAGCCCTATGCTTACTTGTCACACTATCAGGATACTGGATTTTTTGGCAAATGATCAGGTCTAGCGGACATTTTTTTTTTTAAAGATTTATTTTTATTATTTTTTCATTGGAAAGGCGGATATACAGAGAGGAGAGACAGAGAGGAAGATCTTCCGTCCGATGATTCACTCCCCAAGTGAGCGCAACGGGCCGATACTATGCCGATCCGAAGCCAGGAGCCTCTTCCGGGTCTCCCACGCGGGTGCAGGTTCCCAAAGCTTTGGGCCATCCTCGACTGCTTTCCCAGGCCACAGGCAGGGAGCTGGAAGGGAAGCGGGGCTGCCGGGATTAGAACCGGCGCCCATATGGGATCCCGGGCGTGCAAGGCGAGGACCTTTAACCACTTGCGCCACCACTCCGGGCCCCGGACATTTTTTTTTTTTCCCTCAACTTGGAGTACCTACAGAATTACCTCCATTGTCACTTTGTTAGTGTGTAACTGACCTTGGTGTTCAGATATGTCAACATTTCACATTTTCCTCGACAATTCAAAATGGATCATTTTGTATATGTATAATCCGATCGAGAAGACTTAATCAAGAATTATATTCTTGATAAATGTAATTTACATTTATCAAGAATTATAAATAAATTACATTTATCAAGAATTACATTTTCCTAGTATTGAATAATAAAAAGCATTTAAAAGCATACTGTCCAGTTGCAAAGTAAACCATTCAGAAGAATCAGCTAGGACCCAAATAGCTAATTCTATGTTTTAAGTACCAGATTTTTTACCATTTTCCATCCAAAATATTTATCCTCTCTTAATTTTGCTTGACCATGAGAAAAACAAGTTTTATACTCATTTTTGTTTCCTAATTCATTGTACCTGCAGCTTTATGCTTTATAAGATATCTAAGGATCCAAGCAAACTATTTTAAGCAAATATTTGTAAAAATAAAAACAAAGGACCACGCATCAGCAGATGTTTTGATGTCATAATATTCTGCCTGTAACTAGAAGAGAAAACCAAAAGTTATTTATATTAGAAAATGTGCAATTTACTTTACACTAGCTCCAAAATCATTAATATAGGCTCGTGTAGATGTTTGTAGTAATAGTATTTTTGTCCAAGTGAGTTTCCAAATTTCCCGTTTCTGATACAAGAAAAGTATGGAGACTCTTATGGACAAAGGAAAATTGGTTAGATGTTTGATACATTTGACATTGAAATTGACTTTTACTTCTCATCATTAGAATGATCAGTTAAGGGAATAAAAAACCTCTTGAGCTTACCAATTTGTAATTTATTGATTAAACTTGTATGAAAGAGGGAAGTTTATTGATTAAAATTCTCTGGAAGGGACATTTTGATCACAATATCAAGTATTTCATTGTACATTTTTTCAACTGTGCTTCCTAAACCTGTTCATAATCACAGTGGGGGTCCCAGACCACTGCATGTTGGAATCATGAAATTTTTACTATTAAACAAATTATAGTTGCATCATTTGTTTGAAAATAACACTGGTATGGTAGAATGTTTAACAAGAGATCAGAATGCCTGATGCCAAACTTCACCATGACTAAGCCAGTAAACTACAGATTTTTCTCATCTGCAAAATGAAGCTAATAATTCCATTTATTGTATTTCATGGACTTACTTTGAGAATCAACTGAATCATATTAAAAGCCTTTGTAACTGAAGAAAGCGTTATTCAAATGTGAGGTTGATATTAACTGGTCACATACCATTATCTTTACAATGAATGAGAATTCTTTCTCCTGTTCTTTCCTTTCAGTCCTGTGCAGAGAGAACAAAAAAAGGCAGGAGTTTTTTGCGGACCTGGGGGACATTCTTGATTGATGCTTATTCTCTGCCCACCTCTAGAGTAAAAATGATGACAGGGAAGTCCCCGGAGAACCCATCACATCAAAAGTTAGGTTTGAATGTGTTTTTTTAAAGTGCATTTTTGAAGTAAATATTCAATTGTATTTTCTAATACTTGTACATTTTCTAGGTTCATGTAAGTATTTTTAATAGTGTTTCTAGAAATAAGATTATAAATTATAATTGCTATAAAAGTTTTGAATATTTATAATGACATTTTATTGATAACATTACATTGATTTCACGTGAAGTACTTCAAGCTGTAACTGACCAGATGAGGAAATACATGTCCCCCAAAATGTGAACCAGTTTAGACTACAGCTTAAAGTCTGACATGATTTTTTTCCATCAATCCGAAATGGCATAAAGTCTAATACTTAATATTCACCAGTTCAAAGTGCAGTCATGTGTGCCTATGTGTGAAGTTAAATAACTAAAACATGATTTTACTTTCATTGGGCACCCTTTGTAATACTTATGCTGTGAGTCTAATATTGAGGCTAGAGGATGTAATGTGTAGCAAGATTTATAATAAAGTATAGGAACTAGAAGAAAACGGTGGGAAGCCACAGCCCCCAGAAGGCTGACACTTGCTTGAACAGAAGCTGGCCTTGAACTCTGGTCTCCTGACACCTTAATCACCATGTGCTGTTGGGTGTGCACACATGTGAGGGAGTCGGGGACAGAATGTGACGTGAAGGAAAGCGTGATCAGTTGAATCCACCACGTGCTAAAGTTGGGCTAACTCATTTTCCTATTATAGAGAAGCTATCTGTGATAAAACAATTGTAACAAACGGTGACTGCAGAGTCCTGGATTCTTAAAGATTGCCAAATGTCTGTATAATCTTCACCAGAGACCTTTATTCATTTCTATATGCAAAATAGCTGACCTATTTTCTTATGCATCATTATAGAGGATATGGCTGATACTGCCAAAATAGTATAAAGACAGTTGCTCCAAGAAAACATATCAACTAAATTTCTTAAAAATCAGCTACAGATGATTTTATATTAAAATTATTTCATTAAAATGTACTTAAAATTTAAACCTTATTTAAATTTGAAAAACTAAAACTGATGAAGGATGTATCTAATTACTAAATATTTTGGGTAAATGTGATTTTTCTAGAAAGAAATTAAAAATTGTCCCAGTCGTATGGTAAATTTTTCCCCTACAGAAATTGTTCATCTTAAATTGCGTTAACCATTTTAGTGCATAAAGTGATGTGATGGTTCATTTAAGCTTAAGCCAAAATGTTAAGTAATAAGAATGTTTCTAAATGAGGCCTTTATGTGCGGAACAGTTGCAAGCAAGATTACTTGAGCGAGGAACTTGAGGATTTGCTTGTAGGTTTCCAAAAGCTTTAAGTGTGCCATAATTTTTGTGTGTGTGGAAATCCTATTTTTTGTTTTATTATTAAGAGAACTTGGACAGAACAAAGTCTTTTCTTCCAACTTGACATTAAAAATCGGAATCTACAAGTTATAAAATCATTTTCAGAGTAGTTTGTTAGATTTTATACTGTCCTTGAATTAATTAAGAACAAAGCCTCCATTAACTTTGAAGAGTGCACTGTATTGGATGATCTTGGGCTGGTACTTGTATAGCAAGAAGAACCAGCAAAATGCAAGACTCATGTATAACTAACTCACTTGTTTCCCATTAACAATCTGGAAAGATTTAGCTTGAAAATGTCAAGGAAACATTTAGTCTTTCGGGGAACAAAAAATGAAAACTACAAAGACTTTAAAGTTAGAAACTTTGTCTTCAAAAGTGATAAAATACATTCCTAGCCAGAAAAGCTAACTCTTGGAAACTCCCTAAGGGATGGCCGTCTCTGCTTCAGAATCTTTCTAAATTTCAGTGTTTTCAGCAGTCTCGACTTCCCTGCTTATCACCCGACCTGGAAGTAACTCGCAGACCCTACTCCTGAGCCTGAACCAACTGCTGCATGACTTGGCATTTCTCTAATGTTATTAACTGATGCAAATAGACACGTAAGTGACGAGCTGTGACAATCTGCGTCAATTGTTACACAATGTAGTTCATATAGCGCACATACTCATGGTAAGAAATACATGAAAATGACATTTTTTAAAGGTACAAAGACTATTGGTGTTGTTATCTCTCTGGGTAAATGTTTTGTCATTTTTTGAATAGTGCCTAAACCATTTGTATGTGTGACATTCAGTAACAAAACATTGATGGTTGTTGTGTTGATCATATTAAACATGGGTTCCACATCCTTGCTTTTAATTTATTCAATCCATGAAATAATAAACATGCTTTGTTTTCATCAGGTCTTGGCATATTTTGTCAAATTGATCGTCGGTGGAAGTAAGAGACCATATAAACATGTATGTTATTAACATTATTCAGTTTTACATAAAACAGAAAGAATAAGAATAAGCAGTGCGATTGTCACTGCATTGGAATGCTATCCAACCTTAGCAACCATCTTAAGTGATGTTTTTAAAACAGAAGCAACTATTTAACCTTAATATTTGTGTGTGTCGTTGTGCGCGTGTGCTCACAAATGAAGTGCAAGCAAGAGTCAATTGGAGATTATTGCGGTAGCATGTGGAGCAGAACTCCATAATTAAACATTGCACTGTGAGAATATTAATGGTAAAAGAGAGAAAAATCTGTAAATAGCCTGACATCAGCTCAGAGTTTTTACTTCCAAGCAAGGTTATAGGAAAGTCTGTAAATAAACTGTCAGTTCAGGTCAGATATTGCCTTCCAAATGAATTATAACAGATAAGGTCTATAAATAACTTATTATCAGTTCAGGTCAGATTTTTCCTTCCAAATGAGTTACACAAGCAAATCTTGGATTTTGAGAACTTTTTTGCATTTCAAAAATGCCATAAAAAGACCATGTCCTTGCTCTATGCACTGTAGACATTTCAAAATTTGTGCCTGGTCTCCACCCAGTTCTCTTCTCATGTTTTCAGCTTTACTCATATATAACATTTTTGGTTAATACAGAAAATGTTCATACTTCTGTATGCATAGCCAGTTACATATGTAAAACAATTGCAATGGTGTTTGGCACATGGCATTTGACAAATGTCGCTTTTTCTTTCATTTTTTATTTTTACTATTGTAACTGCAAAATTGTCAAGAGGCCAGGTTTAACTCCCATTGTAAGCCAGAAGCTACTTTTTTTTTTTAAAGAGTTATTCAT